GTTTTGGGTGTCGAGGGTTGAAAGCGTAGCCAGCTTTGAAGTAGTTAGGCTAAATCACACATGCTAGTAATTGGACCCACTGTGGACAGAGCATGTGAATGAAGCATTATCAAGAAAAGCATCTGTACCGTTGAGCCAACAGTCTGGAAGGGGTGAGAGGGCAGATAAAAAATTTGCGAAATGCAAGTCTCCCTCTCAGTGTTTTGCCCAACAGCTGTACAGAGTGTCCAGATGCGTTCCTGCAGGGCTACTTGGTTGAGGCGACTTGAGTCCACTGGAGTAAATCAGGGAAGGCTTCCAGCAGGTGCTGAGTTCTGAATAGTGATCCGAGGAAGATAGGAATTGGTGAAGAAGATGAGAGAAGGTGTTTCTGGCAGGACAGAGAACATGAGTGATGACTTCATGGTAGAAAGACTATTTCTGAGGTGGGAAACTTGGGATCAATTAGACTTTCCTGAATGGAAAAAAAAAAAAAAAAGCAGCCTAACTCGGATCATCTTAGACTCCTCAATTAAAAGGAGGAAAATTAAGGTAAACTGGGTACCATGTGAACAGAAATAATTGATTATTTGACTAAATTTAGCCTTCTAAAAAAGTAAATTGTCCTGAAGATCAATCATGACTCCCTCAACTTCCTGTAGTCAGGACCAGCTTTCTGCAAGACTTTGAGGTAGGTGAAGGTTGCTGCCTACCTGTCTTCTCAGGACATTTTGCGATTTTGTATAACCTGGCATCTGCCACAATTTCTGGAGTCCTGCTTGCTTACGTCCTTTATTTTAGCAGTTATTTACTCTGGGACCTTGTAAAATAAAAACTCTTCTTCTTTCTCGGGGCATTGACATTGTCTGAAGGATCTCTGAGAAACCACAAATCCTTCAAAGACATCTACCTGTGATAGAATGGCAGATGGTGGGGTAGATGTTTTTGAGCAGATGACCGTACCAATTGCCTTTCAAAGGGAAACTACTCCTTTAGCAGCTTGGCTTTGATTTTCATGCAATATTTCCTCCGCAGGTGTTGAAAGACTAAGTTAGCATGGAGACACGTCATAAGGGGGAAGGGATTTAATTTTGCCTGTCGGAGCTCCTGAGGACACAGGATATGGCTCTTTGAAAGCAACAGGTGTGCAGTAGTATACCAATGTGGTTAAAAGTTGGGGCTTTGGAGTCATGATGAGCCAGTGTTTATATCTATTTTTCATTTGGTTTTTTTCTCTACTGATCCAGGCTTGCAAGAACCATATCCTGACTCTACTACTTTCTAGCTGTGTAATTTTTCCCCATTACTTTAATTTGGGCCTCAGTTGCCTCCTCTTTTATCAAATAGGGATAATAGGAGTTCCTATCTCATGTAGTTCCTGCAATGATTGGTGAAATATACATGTAAAGAGCTTAGCAGAAGGCTTGACCCCTGATCCAGTCATTCTTGTCATCATTTCCGTTAGCATCACCACATCATCACTGCCCACACCACCCTCCGCTTCCTACTCTAACAGGAAAACAAAATTGTATAACTTTTTATGAAAAGAAAGACCAGCAGTCAGCAAAGGAGAAAAATAGGAGATGGGAAGCCCAGTGACACTCACTGTCTCCTATTCTCACCCTAGCCGTAACATCCTAAAGAGAACGTTACCAAGACTACACTTTCAGAAATCATTTCTGTAGTTCATTACTAAGGGGAATATACGAGGAAACAACCTGACCTTTATGTCTCCATTGTCCCTGTTTTCACAGGTACCTGTCGGCTTGGCTGGGCCTACTACTGTGCTGGAGGTGGGGCAGCTGCAGCCATGTTGATCTGCACCTGGCTGTCTTGCTTTGCTGGAAGAAACCCCAAGCCTGTCATGTTGGTGGAGAACATTATGAGAAACACCAATTCTTATGCCATGGAGCTTGACCACTGCTACAAACCTTGAGCTTTGAAAGAAGATCACAGAGGGTGGGAAAGGGGAGGGATGGAAGCCCCCCAAAGAGGTACGAAGACTAGACCAGTTATCACCCAACTGCTAGCACGGTAGCCTAGAGTATGTATGAGTTTAACTCACCTGTCATTCATTTTCACTTTCCCTTAAGCCAGTGGGTCAGTGGCTATTTACAAAATTCATCTAGAGCAGTGATTCTCTCAAACATTTACCCAATTGGTGAGTATTCACTAAACCTTCAAGTCCCAAAGCATTCCTTTATGCAAAATAGGAAGATCCTTGCTTAAAAGGATCTGCACAACCAAGCAGCTCTTCAGAGTGCTACAGGTTCTGTCTACCCCTCACCCCAAAGCTTGAGGCCTAGATAAGAACAGTTGTGCAGGGAGAGACCAGGACGTGGACAAGGCTGGCTCCTACTACTCCATTCATACAGGTCTCCCCCTGGTGTTTATTTACTGTCGCTCCCAAACATCTCTGAAATCCCACTGCTCAAATTTTTGTGACTTTCTCAGGACTGTACCTTGACTCTTCCTTCTTTCTCCTCCTGTTTCTCTTCCTTGCCAGTGATGGGGAAGATGGAGGGGAGGGTGGCTCCCATTGGGGAAAACATTAATCAAGGATGCTTGCATATGGCCTAGATCCCCTCCTCATTATGCTTAAGAATATTCATAGGAGTTCAGTTTCTGTTCTGACAGGGTGATTGGCTATATATATATATATTTTTTTTTTCTTTTTTTTTCCCTAGTCCTTTAGAGACACATAAATGATGTTTATCAAATGTCCTGAGAAGAGACTAGCATTTGTTGGGCACTCAATAAATAGGAATTCATAACAATGATGGCAGGGATCTTTCTGCTGGCTCCTTACTAAAATTTCTAACAGAGTTCACTCTTATTGAGTAGGAACTCCACGGTGACCTTTTGACCCCTATAATCACACCTAGGGTGATACAAATTTTTCTGCCTATTTCCAAGAGTGCTCATCAAATGATCTCTCCTCCATCTGGGGTGAGACAGACATGGAAGAGCACTGTCCTGATGTGACTGAGGGCGGATGTATTTTTAGGCCTGGCCTCCATCCCATCTGTGCTCAAGGCTGACGGATGGTGTAGAAGAACTTGATGTCGCCTGGGGGACAGTTTGTATCACTCCTCCCCCACCCAGTTAGTTCAGGCCAGCTCTATTATTCCATAACGATAGCTTTAGGGACTGGCAAGGGTCTGTGCCTCAAAAGGCAAGCTCATCTGTTTCTATTCTTAATCTTTCTGACATGGTTTAGTTATAGTCCTACCTGGAGGGAGAGAAATGAAAAAAAACATGGATTTGAGTTACATGCCATCCTAGGAAGGGTCAGGTTCTTGATTTAATGTAGGCAAGTGCATTTAAGCACATATTCCATTTGTAGTTCATTCATTCATTGAGTCATTCATTTAGAAAACACTTCTTGAGTATCTTCCTATAAGCTGCATCTATGCTAAATCCAGGGGATAGAAGGATGAGGACATAGTTTCTCACCCTAAAAGGGACAGGGGAGAGGTATTGAGGGACAAGTTGATAAATGATGGCCGCTGCTTTAACTGCTAGAAAAGTGAAGAAGGGGAATGAAGGGATGATAGAAAAGCCATTAAACCCACTTGCGAATGAAGCAGCTCATGGGAAAGCTTCCTAACAAAGATGGCGGAGTGTAGTCAGTGAAGGTAGAACGTGCCCTAGACAAGGAGTGGTGCCAGCCGAGGCGTGGAGATGACATGACAGTGACAAAGGAGGGCCATCGCAAGAAAAGTAACATGAACACATTTCGTGTTTTTTCAAAGATCAGTTTGGCTAATGTGCAGAGAATGAAAGAGAAGAGGAAGACAAGGAGAGATATTTTGATAATCTGGGTACAAAAGGATCAGGTACTGAAGTAAGGTACTAATTGTGAGACTGGAGCAGATAGATGAATTTCAAAGAAGATATTTAGGGAGTAGATTCCACGGGACTTTGGGGGCGTTGTTGAGACAGAATCTCATTCTGTCACTCAGGCTAGAGTGCAGGGGTGTCATCATAGATCACAGCAGGCTCAAACTCCAGGGTTCAAGCCTTCCTCCTGCCTCGGCCTCCCAAGGAGCTTGGACTA